TTTATGCAAGTGGAATACAAGAAGTATGGGCTTATGGGTCCCACATTAATTATTTAGTGGTAAGAGGTAAGTCTTAATACTCCCCCTCAAGGTGGAGTGTGAAGATTATGAACACCCAACTTGCTCCGTATAAATTGGAATTGAGCAGTACCCAGTGCTTTGGTGAAAATGTCTGCAATTTGATTGGTTGTAGAAATGTAGCATGGCGTGATATCACCGCTGGCGATGCGTTCCCGGACGAAGTAACAATCTATTTCCACATGTTTAGTGCGTTCATGAAAAACTGGATTAAGGGCGATCTGTCGGGCGGCCTGATTATCACAGTAGAGTGGAGTGGGGTTGTGTTGCGGAAGCGTGAGGTCACTGAGAAGAAAGCGGAGCCATAGAATTTCGCTGGTGGTGACAGCCATAGCACGGTATTCAGCCTCAGCGGAGGATCGAGAAACGACAGATTGTTTCTTGGTTCGCCAAGAAATAGGAGATGTACCAAGAGTAATGATGTAGCCTGTGCTAGAGCGGCGAGTGAAAGAACAGCCAGCCCAATAAGCATCACAATAACCGGATAAGGAATAATTATCATCAGATGAGAGAAAAATGCCTTGTCCGGGTGTTTGTTTGAGGTACCTAAGAATACGGTGAGCAGCATCAAGGTGAGACTGGCGGGGTTTACTCAAAAATTGACTCAGTTGAGTAACCGAGAATACAATGTCCGGGCGAGTAACAGTTAGATATAACAGCCGACCGATCAAGCGTCGGTAAGAGGAGGCGTCAACAAGTGGGGTGCCATCATCGGGTTTTAGTTTTAGATTTTGCTCCATGGGGAAGAGACTTGGACGGCCTGCAAGAAGGCCGCTTTCTTCCAAGATGTCAAGTGTATACTTGCGTTGACTTAAGACGAAGCCGGAGGGAGAACGTGCAACCTCGATTCCAAGAAAGTATTTGAGTGGGCCCAAGTCTTTGATGCTAAAGGTAGTATCCAAATATTTCTTAAGCGAGGTGATGTGAGATGCATCATTTCCGGCTAAAATAACATCGTCCACGTAAATGAGAGCGAAAGTGTGAACATGGCCACTTTGAAAGATGAATAATGAGTGGTCCGCCTGAGATTGACGAAAATCAACCGCAATGAGTGCATGGGTAAATTTCTGGTACCAATTACGGGATGCCTGTCGTAACCCATACAAAGATTTGTGTAATTTACAAACACGGGAGTCTCCATTTTTAGAGAAACCCTCAGGAATGCGCATGTAGACATCTTCAGATAAGTCACCGTGGAGAAATGCATTATTGACATCAAGCTGGTGGACAATCCAGTTACGTTTGATAGCAACCGCTAATAAACAACGGACAGTAACAAGCTTAGCAACCGGGGCAAAAGTCTCGTGAAAATCAATCCCCTCTACCTGCGTGAAACCTTTTGCAACCAATCGAGCCTTGTAACGTTCCACATCACCATTGGGTTGATATTTGATTTTATACACCCATTTGGAATCAACAACTTTTTTTTTTTGGTGGGAGATCAACCAACGTCCAGGTGCCATTATTTTCCAAAGCCGTTATTTCCTTTTGCATGGCTTCACGCCATAATGGATCTCGTACTGCCTGTGAAAAATTTTTGGGCTCATCACGTAAGGTGATGGCCGCCAAAAAAACCTTATGTGATGGTGAAAATTTTGAATAATCGAGATAATTGGAAATAGGAAATACCGTCGATTTGACTGAGTTGGTAGTGGGGTGTGACTGGTCGAAAGAGGGGGGCATGTCAGTTTCAAATAATTCAAGATGCTTTGGAGGATGCCGAACTCGTGTGTTGCGTCGTAGCTGGATCGATGGTGAGGAAATGGAATCGTGGGGCCCAACTGATTCGTATGATGGCATGTGATCTTGTTGTTTTCCGCCATCAATAGTTGGACTACGTGTATTGTTGGGAGTTTCCGTAGCCATGTCACGTGTTAACGGTGAAGGGGATGGATCCGGACATATGAGTGGTGTTGTATTTGGAAGCATTTCTGGCATACCATCATTAAGGCAGGTCGTCGGTGCATGCTGTAAGTTGGCAGTATGTGGGTCAAATAAAGGTGATTGAGAATGGCTAATTTCTGAGGTAGGTTCCAGGGAAATGAGGTTATTTTGGCATGATTTGTGTGTATGGGGCCTTGTGGACGTGTCTGGAGGTGGGAGAATGCATGGAGTTGTATGTTTGCATGTGACTTTGTTGGAGTCAATAATGTTGCGATAAACTCTAGCAACCATAGTAACAAAATCATCGTCGGCATGAATTACGTTTTTGAACGGAAAAACGTTCTCAAAAAATATGATATCCCGGCTGCTGTAAATATTAAGTTTTTGTATATCAAAAACTCAGTAAGCTTTTTGCCCGTTGGGATATCCAATAAAAATACATGGACTCCCCCTTTCGCTGAATTTATCCTTTCTTTTATTATCATGAGCATAGACCAAACACCCAAATACCCGTAAGTGAGCGTAGCTGGGGACCTTTCCAAATAATACCTCATAGGGACTTTTATTGTTAATGATGGGAGACGGCAGTCTATTGATGAGGTAAACAACAGTGAGGATGCACTCCCCCCAAAAATTAATGGGAAGACCAGACTGGAAGCGAAGAGCTCTGGCAACTTCTAAAATATGACGATGTTTGCGTTCCACTACTCCATTCTGTTGTGGTGTGTCGGTACAAGAGGTTTCAACTATTATTCCATTTTGTTTATAGAATTCTAGTAAAACCTCAGTCTGAAATTCCATGCCATTATCGGAACGCACACGTCTGACCTTTTGCTCAAACTGGGTTGTTACCATATTGTAAAATTGTATTAAAAGTTGGGGGACCTCAGATTTATTTTTCATAAGATAAACCCAAACGCCGCGAGAAAAGTCATCGACGATGGTGAGGAAATAACGAGCACCGGTTATAGAATCACATTTGTAACCTCCCCAAATGTCACAATGTATTAATTCAAAACAGTGTGAACTTTTATTCATACTAACGGGAAAAGGCAAACGAGTCTGCTTGGCTCGTAAGCAAGGATCACAGAAATCATAATTTTTCTTAAGCCCCTGAAGAGATGAGATGTAGTGCAATTTTCCATCTGACGCATGTCCCAGACGCTGATGCCATAATTCAAAGTCTTGAGTAACTGACATTGCCACCCCTGCTCTCCTAGGAGTGTTGAGATAATATAGACCGTCACGAAATTTACCCACTCCAATCAGCTTCATCGAGGGTAAGTCCTGTAAAATACAAAAATCCCGAAAAAATGTGAGTGTACAGTTGAAGTCACTAGTAAGGCGACTAGCTGAAAGTAAGTTGCATTTAAATTGTGGAATATATAAAACGCGTCGAAGGTATAGTCCATTGGGTATATAGACTTCCCACTGCATGGACTGGCACTGATTCTCCATTTGGAATTTTGACGAATGGCTCAGTTGGTGTAGTAAAAATATTTACTAGACCATCACCTTCACACGTTATATGTTCGGTTGCTCCAGAGTCAATAATCCAAGGATAAACATGTGACGGTGTGGCTGCCATGTTTGCCCGAGTAGTAGATGAGGAAGATTGATCAACCGATTGGTCAACAAATTTTTGTTTCATGTACTGCGCAAGCTCCTCCAATTGGTTGGCAGAAAGTCCATAATTAGAATTGAGACTTCCTTCTACGTGGGCAGCTTTTGGGTGGCCTGGGTGTTGAGTGATCCTTCGAGTAGCACTAGGAGCTTGTTGAGCATGCATGTGAAAACTACCACGTGGCTGAGCAGTAATTTGTAATTCTTTAACTCCTTTTCCTTTTGTATTCCAACTTGGTGGGTAACCATGCAATTCAAAGCAATTTTCATGAGTGTGGTTGGTCCTCCCACAATGAGAACAGTGACGGCCAACTTTGGAGGTGTGGTGGCGACTCAAATTAATGTCCTTCCCGGTATGAACTTGGAAGACTGAACCATCAACAGTTGGTTTGCGGGCCGATGCGATGGATCGGTGTTGCTCGCTCTCCGAAATGAGGTGATAGGCAGCGGTAAGTGAGGGGACCGGTCTTGTGGCAAGAATTTGAGTTTTTAGTTGGGCGTAGACATCATCCAATCCCATTAAAAAATCATAGAGGCGATCTCTATCTCTAGATTCATTGATTTGTTTAGATAGATTGCATGAGCATCCTTTGCAAGTACAACTTGGACCAGTGTTGATAGAGGCAATCTCGTCCCAAATGCGACGCAACCGGCTAAAATATGCCGAGATGGACTGGTTGTCTTGTCTAACGGCACTAAGTGAGCAACGGAGTTCATACGCACGTGGAGCGCTCTCCTTTCCAAATCGTTCTTCCAAATCAATCCAAATCTCGCGTGCCGTTTTAAATTTAACACTTTGTCGAAGCTCGATTTCCATGCTTCCGTTCAACCAAGCTTTAACCATGGCATTTGCACGTTGCCAATATGGAAGGTATGGTGACTCCGGTTTGGGCATCGGAAGATCCCCATTGACAAAATCAAACTTATTTTTCGCATAGAGGGCATTGCTCATTTCATCGAGCCAATCGCCATAGTTTCCATCACGAAGAGGTGTAGTAACATAGATATCTCCGGGCTTATCTCCGGATTGAATAAAATATGGTGACATTGAATCTATTACGATGCCGGTGGTTTCAAGGCCGGCATCACTAATTTTATCGCCGTCAACCATGGGTAGGGATGATATGTGTATGTTTCAAAGGGATAGACTAAGATGTATTTTTCCAGAATTTCGGCTCTGATACCATGATAAAACTGATAGTGCTAAACGGGGAACACAAAATGATATACTGGGAAATAATGATGCTCATATATGAGCTACAAAGCAAATGGCATGTTTACATACGTAAAAAGGCTTCCTTCTTCTTTAGGAGAGAGGCCATATATATACATGTTCTTTGTGCAAGTGGAATACAAGAAGTATGGGCTTATGGGTCCCACATTAATTATTTAGTGGTAAGAGGTAAGTCTTAATACCCACATATAAGAAATTGATTCCCAACAATAAACGATCCTGAAACACGAATTGCAACTACATCTTGACTGTGGGCCCGACACTGTAGTTTTTCTACAACATGCACAAGCTTTTCTGGTGGCCACTCCCCAGCTAGCGTACTTCGAATATTTGATAATGTTGTAAATATATCATTTGGCCCGACAGATTCTTTTCCACAAAAACTGCAATCATAAAACAAAGGGATAACTGTCAACTTTTCTTTCTGATTATTCACTTTTGCACAACAATTATAAGAAAAAATGTTATATAAACTTACAGGTTTTACCCCAAATTACAATCCTAACAGATTTTCCAAGATATTATGGGCTCGAATGTCATAAGTTTGATGTCTCAATTTTACTCGGCATTTACATTAAGGTAAATTATTGATACCTTCAATTAAATGCTAGGCCAGCACAAATCTAGACGAAATGTTAATAAACTATGTATATCCAGATGTTCCGAAACTATTGCTGATTTTTCTTCGAAAAAACAAATTGTTTGTACTCAGAATAAAGATACGCAGAGCTTCGGAGTCCAGTTGGGAAATGGAAAACATGCACAATCATTTGGTAAATAGTCTGAGTTACCAGCCAATTTGGACCACTTACAATCTTATTGGAATGCTACTTGTTTCCCACTTTCCCACTTGGGCGGAGTGGGCATCATTTTTGGCTTGGCTTGGCTTGGCTCAAGACTTGAGGGATGTCACTGCTAATTTTGCTGAGAAGATCGTGAAACTCAAGGACTCAAGTTGGACAACCAATTGGTTCAACTGGCAGGTAAGCCATCTATGCCTCGTCTACCCGTGTTGTTCAATTCTTTGGAACACATGACTGACATGGATAATTGTTACCTCCTTTGGAGCTTGAATGACTATCATACTACAGATTATGAAACAAGTGAAATATCTTTGGCTCAACAAACTCAGTTAACATTCTTGCAAACACACTGCCAAGTTTTTGGAAAACCACAAGACCTTCCCCCATCGTGGATACATGAAGGGTGGAATATCTCCAGTTAATGTTAAGATATGGCATAGTCAGAAAGACAAAGTTGAACGGTTAGTGGAAGAAATTCTGACCACAGGTGTTATACAACCTAGTTTCAGACCACTTTTTAAGCCCATTTCTCTTGGTTGTGAAAAAGGATGGGAGTTGGAAGTTTTGTGTTGACTACCATGAATTGATCAAAGCTATAGTACCGAATAAAAATGCCCAATACCGGTCATACAAGAGATATTGGATGAGCTCTATGCCATTCAGATTGATTAACACGCCTGCAACCAATAAGAAATTATGAACAGCATCTTTTGTCCATACCTTTGGTGATTTGTCCTGGTATTTTTTGATGACATACTTGCACTTTTTTGTTTTCTTACTTGTATACTCCCTTTATATTTTAAAAGATCGCTACATTAGCTTTGGCACATTATTTAAGGAGTAAAGTAGTAGGAGTGATGAATAGTGTAGAAAAAGTAGAAGAGAGGGGGTCAAAGTATGAAAGAGAAGATAACAAGTAAAAAAGGTAAGGGTGATTGCGTTTTTTAAAGGGAAAACTTACCAAAAGCGGAAAGTGTAGCCGACTTTTAAATACATCCCAAAAAAGAGAAAGTAGAAAACTTGAGAATACGGATGGAGTATAGTATTTCATGAAAAGACCATTTGCAACATCTGACAATGGTGATGGGAATTTGATAAATTAACCAGTTGAATGCAAATCAAAAAATGCAGCTTTGGAAAGACATCAATAGAATATCCTAGGCATATTGTGCCCCAGTTCGGGTTGGCTCTAGATCCATAAAAAATTAGCAGCATGCTTTGTTGGCCCCAACCAAAATGTCCCAAGGCCATGCGGGGATTCTTAGGCCTCACAGGATATTGTTGCCTGTTCATTCAGGATGATGGCAAGATCGCCCAGTCTCTTATTAAAGAAAAATTATTTAACCCGGTTCCAATGGTCACAGCCTATGCCTTTGAGGCATTAAAAGCAGAAATGACCTCGTCACCTATTCTTGCAACCCTAGATATTTGTTTTCCATTTATGATTGAATGTGATTCTTCAGGATCAGGGGTGGGAGCTGTATTGATGTAGGGACCCCAACTGATTCCATATTCTATAAATGTATTCTAGGCATATAATTTAGGATATTATTATTGTATAGAATCTTATATAGGAATATTCTATTTGTATTGTATATTTATAGGGACTTACACAACTAATGAAATACACAGAAAATCTTTCCTCCCCTCTTCAATATTATTCTAGTTTATATTTCAACAACCTTCAACTTTTTAATGTGGTGGTAACTTAAAAAAGGCCTAGTGTATTTTAGTTAATAAAGACATACTGCATCTATTCTTAATTAAATTCAAAATGATAACACAATTCATATGATCTACTTTGACTGCATTTTTCTATTAATGCATTTGAGATTTATTTTAGAAAATATTATATTGTTCAATTTGTCTCGTTTTAATTTAAAAAATCTCAATTTCAAAATATTTTACTTATAGAGAATAAATATATGCTTATTGTTGTGGTTTAGTCCCAAATGATCCGAAGACCCAACACTAACCTTGGATCTTGGGTTGAACTGCTACAGTAATATATATAAAAGGAAATATAAAATCTGATTTAACTATTCAAATAACTCAGCTTGTATTAGCACAGTAATAACGATTACACAGAAATGACTGAACGGTAGTTACAGTTTAAAGGCTAATATGAGAGCTAGAATATAACATAAGCTTATGACTCCATCAAATCCAACCCTTACAATGATTTAACAACTGCTATTTATACCAAATGGAGACATGAAGCGCCCTTATACGATTGGTTGCTTTCCATGCCACTTGAGACCCCCATGATACGACATTAACTGCAGTCGGTCACATCCCGTTCGTATGGTGCCGAACGGGTCTTGCCTTTAAGCAGACCATTTGGGCCCAACGATCTCTTCCTGACTATCCTTTGTATTTCAGACCTTAAGAATGTGCCGATCTCCCGTTCGGGATCTATGACCTTTGGGCTTTCCTTGGTGCCTCGACTTCTAGGGATATTTTGGGCTGCAATATTGGGCCGGACCTCAATATCCTATCACATATTTAATGTTTTATGTTGCCAAACTTGAAGATGTAAATGTTACATCCAAAGAATAACAGAAGTATCTCTAAATAGGAGGATAAACATCTTTCTTAGTAGTCACATATTTAGTACACAATGTATTAATGTTCCACCAAATATCATCATCAATCATGTTAGTAATTGTTTCTAGAAACACTTTTTTGTCGAAAATTTAAAAAATGTTAATAGTCATGATGGTGTTGGGCGTAGATTTGAACACTTGTTCCAATAAAGTATACGACAAATAAAGAAAACCAAAAACAAATTGTTATCTTTATTGACATTGTGAAATGTTCATAAATGTGTTTCTAGAAATTCTTTTTGCTTTTGTATCTTTCTCCAAAATATTATTGTAAGGCTATGACTAAGAAATTCATCCACAATATTCATTTGGTGAGAGTCAATGTAACTACTTCTTATTGGGTGCACAACTGTTACTCTCCTCTCGATATTATCCTTGTCGTTTTTTTGAAATTTGAATACTCCATGAAAGGCTGGTTTTTATAATGATATCTAGAAATCATACAAGACATCCTCCAGACAGCTATGACAAAGCCGGTCGTAAGTCCTAGAAATAAACATAGAATCAGTCACTTTATACAAAGAAACCTGATTCGCTAGACACAAAACGGGCAAATTTAATAAGCCTAACACAATAGGAACTGAAAATATTGCCTATAAAAAATACTTCAGAAATTCAAATATCTAAATCAAACCTACTTGAAGTAAAATAAAAATAAGTATTACTAAACAAAAAATAAAACTGAAATAAAGCTTTTCCACGAAATTCTTCTTGAATTAGCACGAAGGTAGTTCTGGAGGACGAGCTCTATCATTTTCTATGCAGCCCAAAAGAAGGCAGATAGAATTCCCTGACCAGATGAAGCTAGTCGGGACACCTAAATTACTCTCCACACCGAGGAAGACGAAACAACCCGGAGCGCCAGTGCCCAAGAAATAACCGTCATAACACAAAACAAATACAATCAGAAAAAAAGAACACTCTAGTTGGGTCATACCCTTACAAAGGAAACCTTCGAAAGCTGATGTCACCAAGATCAAGTCATGGAATATGTTACAGATTATGAGACCTCCACCTCCGTTTCCTCTTTCCAATCCTAATCTAGTTGTTAAAGTATGAACTGATTAAAAATGATTTAGAACCGTACAATTTAATCAAATTTGGTATGAAACAATCTAGTGGAACAGTTCAAAAAGGAAAGATGAATCTTAACTTATGTGACAAAAGGAGTAGAAAATATTTTTGTACTTTTATATATGCAACATTGTGTAATCCATATATTCAAAGTGAATTATTTGAATGTTTTAGTAATAGCGATAATGGCATATTAATGATCAATAAAAGAGTGATACGTCAATCATTTTAAATTTAATTTTTCGGTATAAAACAACATATCTGAGAGTAAAGAAAATGCTCCTGATAAAAAACTTAAAAAACGCAGAGTAGAAAACGAAAACGTCTAAATTAATTTTTGTGTGAAAAACTTTTAAATTAAGTTTAAAAAATCGAATTTAATTAATAAAGTAATGCAAAAATGTAAAACAAACGTATATGTGATACGTACGGAATATATTATGTAATGGAATATTATTACATAATATACGTAGTATTAGGTAACACAAACATATGCGTAATATATACTACGTACTATCTCCGTCCCAATTTAGTTAATCATCTTTGACTTTTCCAGTCATAGATGGTAAACTTTGACCAATTATTTTAATAGAAATTGCTCTAATTAAGAGCAAAAACGTTTTGAAATTCCAAAATATGAGTATCATGTTTTTTATTCCCTGAATAGGAGTAATCTGCCAAGTTTGGGAAAAAAGCCATGTTTAAAGCCTAGTGATGCCAAACTTGGCAGAAATTTACTCCTATTCAAGGAATAAAAAACATGATAATTCTATTTTGGAATTTCAAAACTTTTTTTTGCTCCTATTTAGGGAATTCTCTCTTATTTTAACTAATATATTTATGCAAAATTTAATAATTTTATACTTTTATGATAGTATTTTCAACAAAGAATATTTTCATATTATGAATATTTTCTTTATATAAACATATAATCGGTCAAAGTTAGAAGATTTGACTTGAAAAGTCAAGTTTGGCTAACTAAATGGGACTGTGGGAGTATTATATAACGAGTATTATGTCATGCATGTGGTAATCAATTTTGTAAAAGTTAATAACCGCGTCCTCCTCAATATATAGAACGAAGCTAAACAATACGAGTAGGAATTAAAAATTCAGTAAACAAAGCAAAGATTCTTCTTTCAAAAAAATAACAGACTTGGAGAAGGCCGGGAAAAGAGGGGAGGGATATGACGGGTTCTTTTCCAGTGACGTCTTGGCCGGTCGTGGTCATCACTGTTATTTCGGTTTCAATGTTGCGGGCCAGTTCCGCCGCAACGACTTCAGGGTTTCGCCATGATGGCAAAGGGATTCGGGTGAATCTGAGACGCCCAGAGCAAAACGGTGGCGGACAAAACTTGACCAGGCTGGAGCGTGTGCAACGCGCCGTAAAGCGCGACGCTGAGAGGCTTCCTGGCCTCTTAGCATCATCGTCGTCATCATCATCATTGTCCACAACAGGTGTGGCGGCATCGGAGCGAGGGGTGATGAATTCCAGCGTACGCTCCTCTATCCCATCAGGCGCGTTCTTGATGGACCTATCCATCGGGACTCCGGCGGTGAAGTTGAGCTTCGATATGGACACGGGCAGTGACGTGATTTGGACTAGTAGCAGCAAAAGTGAGTCCTCTAGTACCTTGCAGATTTACCCCTGCTGCCCGGTGCTGCTGCACGATGAGGGTTCGGTTATACAGAAACTTAGATGCGTCCCGGGGAATAAAAGGGTTACAGCCCCCGGGTGCGCCTACAATAGCACTTACGGCGATGGGTCGTGGAGCTGGGGCCATATTGCCGCAGAGAGCTTTACATTTGAATCAGGTAGTGTCACGGTCGAGAGCGTGACGTTCCTTTCGGCCAATACAACCGGAGGTGTATTTCCTGGCAACTCCTCCGGGATTGTCGGTCTCGGCCGCGGCCAAATGTCCTTGGTCTCGCAACTCAATGTCTCTCAATTCTCGTATTGCTTAACTGACATCGGTAGCGATTCGGTCAGCACGCTTACTCTGGGTGGTAGCGGCGACAGCCAGATGAAGAGAGCTGACGATGGAAGATCCGTTATCACAGCCCGTCTTCTAGAGAGCCCGCAAAAGGATCCGTACTCGTCGTTTTATTATGTCAAAATTACAGGGATATCTGTCGGGGATGTCTTGCTGAACGTGCACGAGGAGGTGTTCCAGGTAGGCGGTGACGACGGGGGCGGGATGATTATCGACTCCGGCACCACCCTCACGTACCTGCCGCTGAGAGCATTTGAGGCGGTCAAAGAGGAGGCAACGAGACAGCTTAGCGCGAACGTGGAGTTCGCGTATGCCCTGCAGCTGTCCATCCATTTCGATAATGCCACATTAACTGTTCCCTCCGAGAACTGGTTATACGTCGACTCGATAAATGAGGATGTATCCTTCTTATTGGGCGCGATCAGGAACGGCAGTGTGCCTGGAATTTTGGGGAATCTTGTGCAGCAGGATATGATGGTCACATATGATCTAGCTCATGCCTCTCTTTCCTTCGAGCCCAAAAGGTGTGGTTAAGTACTCATCAGATCATCTTCCTTCATCGCGCCTACCTCTGTACGTACTTACGTGCCTAATAAGCTAAATCCATCACATCTTACACACACCATTATAAATCAATAGATCAGTATATGATGATCGATCAGTTTGTTCTCATCTCCGACTACATGTTTTAATTAAGGTTTCCCATTCTTCCTGCTTCCTTCCGTGTATTGAATTGGGATTGTATACGTCCTAAACATATACTACTCCGTAATATCCATTTTGTACGTTTTTAAAAGAGTTTGTTAGTAGCTAGTCCATCCATCTTCCCTTTTTGGCTCCGTAATATATGCATAATCTCTTTCATTACAGAAATTGTTCAATATACAACTAAAACATACACACAATTCAAAATTACGACTAGGTGGGTGCGTCTTATCGGTTAAAACAAAGATAATCCTATTTATGAACGTAATCCTTATTTTTATTCTATTTAAGGAATTTTCTCCTTTTATTAAATGATGTTATTTACACGAAGAATAATTACATAGGGAGTAATTTCAATAATTCAATAGGCCTTAAATTAGTACTATCGGATAAGATATAGAGGACCGGTGAAAAATGAGCACACAAAAGGCCAGATCACACCAGACTTGACTATTGTAGTTGCAAAATACACAGAGACCAGACATTTAACAGACCAGACTAGGCCGGAAAATTACAGTTCGAGTAAAAACATCCTAAATAACCCAGGCATTTGAGCTTATTTTGTCAACAATGTATGATATCCTCCGGGCAAGAAGCCATTAGGTTGAAATAGTCTTAGAAAATATTTGGACAATTGGGGGGACCTTGACAAAATTGAAAACACAAGGTCTACATTTCAATGTGGATACTATTTGAGGTAATGAAAATATGATCTCCCCAATTATATAATAATGTCACTAAATTTCATGAAGTATAAATTAAATACTACCTCCGTCCCTTAAAACTTTTCCAAAGTTGACTGACACAGAGAATAATAAAGTAAAAACTGTGTGGTTGAGATTTGTGCAGAGGAGAGAGAAATAACAGAAACCACAAAATAATTGATTAAAAGGGAAAGTGGCAAAGTTTTTTGGGACGTCCCAAAAAGGAAAGATGACAAAGTTTTAAGGGACGGAGGGAGTTGAATATATTAGATAATTCAAGAAAATATAAATTTTATATTGTATAAAGTACAAAAATTAGATATCTTAAACATCTGTGTCCATAGTCATATAGAGTTAGTATACAATATAGTAATGTACCACCAAATCTCTTTTTTCTTTCCATCAATGATGCTAGTAATGGTCAATAACAACACTTTATTGCCAACAAATTAAAAAATATTAATAGCCAAATAAAGTTGGACGTATAATTCAAAGTTTCTTTCAATAAAGTATTCGATAAATAAAGAAAATCAACAAAAAATTGTTACTTTTATTGACATTGTGACTTGTGAGTTGTTCATAGTTTCATACCTCTTTTGTATCTTATAGCTCCAAAATATTTTCTAAGACTAGCTATTGCAAACAAATCCATCTCATTTGGTGAGAGTCATGTAACTGCTCTAACGTTTTGGGTGGACAAGTGTTACTCTCATCTTGATAATATCCTTGCCGTTCATTAACAAAATGTATAAACTAAACCGACTACATGGAGTTGTCACACCGAGGGGGCAGATCATGGTGCAGTGAGCATCGTACTCCCATAGCCAAAACATGCATGAACAACAACACCACATAGGTACAATAATTTTTTCCAGTAGCAGGGTGATCGATGTAACTCGTGTTTAAAGAAATATAACTCACGTTGATGAGAAATGTAACTGGAGAAAAATTGAAATGTAAATTATCTATTGCGGAGTATATATAAAAAATTAAAACATTGATTTAAATGTAAAAAGATGAATAAAAAATGATTTAAAAAATCATTTTTGTTTCCATAGTAGAGTTTTATTTTGTGATGTAACTAGCGTTGATGGAAAATTTAACTTATGTGTATGCAAAATGTAACTTGTTGAGGCAAGTCATTGTAACTCACTCATACAAAAAAAATGTAACTCGCGCATAAGAAAATGTAACTTATGTATAAAAAGATGTAACTCGCGCACATGAAGATGTAAATCACGTTTAAAAAGATATAATTCCATATAGCACCTCCGTTCTCTTTTAGTTGCAACATTGATGAATTTTGCACTATTCACGTATTCTACTTTGACTGCATTTTATTTATTAATTACAACTCCGATCCATATACTATCAAATGTAACTTCAAAAATCTAAATAAACAAACTCCATGTCTTAAAAACCTCTAAATATATATAAAAGAGTGTGTGTGTGTGTATATATATATATATATATATATATATATATATATATATTAGAAAAGTGTGTGAATATAAAAAAATATTACAAAAAAGTGTATGAATATAAAAATATTATGCAAATAACAATAGTGTATGAATATGAAATGCAATATAATTATTTTATTTAGATTAATAATTTTTTTATGAATTGATAGAATAAAAAAATATATTGAGTTGTAATTTAAGTTGAAGATAAAGAATAGTAAAATTGTAATTACATTTTTAGTACTTTGATAGAAAGAGAAAAAAATTGAAGGAAAGGCAAATAAAGAAGGAGAAGCCAAACAAAATTAAAAGTGATGCACCGCAAGGAAAAAAGGAATGCGCGAACAAGGTTACCTTATGTAATACTCCATATATTTTTAAATTGTTAATTGTAAATTATTATTATTTTTCAACCCGGTGGGAAACCACAAAAACCGGTGGGGTAAGATACTCCATATATGTGTGTGTATTACAAAAGAACGTGTGTATACCTTTTTCTGAATTCTTTGATGTTAGCCTTGACACATTACATTCTGACGTAAAAAAGAACTTAATCTTAGGAGAGGAAAAAAGAATAGATATCACCATTGGATCATCTCATAATTATTACGTGTGACTAATCTTCTTTAGAGGTTAGAAGGGTCATTCTTTTTCTTTCCATCTTAGATCCATTCCGTCATGATAACTTCTTTCCTTCCTAAAATTAAGGATTTAGTTAATATTATTATTTTATTGGTTTCTTCCCTGATATCTTAACCATTTGTGCGGCTGTACCACCCACCAATCAAGTGATTAATTTGCTCCCTTTTTCCAACTACAATTATTTTGCTCCGTTTAGCTTATTATTGCATAAAGGTGCATTCGGTAAAATATTTTAGTGCATCGTCAAGCAAGAAATGTGCATATAAATTGTATGATAAAAATTCATTTAACATATGCTGGAAAAGTGCACAATGGCTCACATGCAAATGAACGGGTTAGATTGTCATATTAAAAGTGCAAATCAATATAAATAAAAGTTCACATAGAGAAGTTTAACACACTTCGATCAAAAGTATGGCTAGTTTTACCAAAAAGTGCAGAAATATATATCAAATAAAAGTATTCTATAAAAGTATTTGAATTTTATAGAACAATCGTAGATCAACTACAAAATGTGTACCTCAATGTTAGAAGTGTAAAATAACTCAAATGAAGTGCATAATAGAATGATCCACATAAAACATATTTTTAAACATTAAACATATGTAAATATATATTGCACATTAAATACATTTTGGTGCATACTAAATTTTTCTATAATGTACTCGTATATATATATATATATCTCATTTCTCCATGCACGTTTACCTTATTTTTGGTGTACTTTAAATTTATTTGGGTGCATACTAAATTTATCAAAAATGCATAATAATATCTTAATGCACTTTCATATTAAATTTTAGTGTACGAAGTCAATACTCATAGTGGGGAGTACTAATTTGAAGGGAAAAAACAAGATAACGTAGTTATTAGAGGGAGTTACTCCTTATTAATTATTATCCTGATTTATAGGATTCCTTTCCTATTATAATGCTACGTGTGTTGAATCTATCTAAATGCTATTTACAATAGTGACCCTCATTTAATATTGAGTTGAACACCTTCCATATCTACGAACTCAATGATCCGAAAAAAATGCAAATCAACTGCTTTTTGGAAAAAAAATTGGCCGTGAGATTAAGTAAATTGAAGGTTAGATTTTGTTCTTTTTTACTCTCCTAAGAGGGTGTTCTCACAGGAACCGCACCCCATATATATATATATATATATATATATATATATATATATATATATATATATATATATATATATATATATATATATATATATATATATATATATATATATATATATATCTTCGCTTTTAATTTGCAGGTTAATAGTGTGTAGCAACTTATTCTTGAGAATTGGAATTGGTCAACATAAAATATGAAAGACCATTTTATTTTGCAAAATTCCATTATTAAGGTAATCACACCAAGGAAACACACTCATTATTAATAGTCATGATGGTGTTGGGCGTAGATTTGAACACTTGTTCCAATAAAGTATACGACAAATAAAGAAAACCAAAAACAAATTGTTATCTTTATTGACATTGTGAGATGTTCATAAATGTGTTTCTAGAAATTCTTTTTGCTTTTGTATCTTTCTCCAAAATATTATTGTAAGGCTATGACTAAGAAATTCATCCACAATATTCATTTGGTGAGAGTCAATGCAACTACTTCTTATTGGGTGGACAACTGTTACTCTCCTCTCGATATTATCCTTGTCGTTTTTTTGAAATTTGAATACTCAATGAAAGGCTGGTTTTTATAATGATATCTAGAAATCATACAAGACATCCTCCAGACAGTTCTGACAAAGCCGATCGTAAGTCCTAGAAATAAACATAGAATCAGTCACTTTATATAAAGAAACCTGATTCGCTAGACACAAAACGGGCAAATTTAATAAGCCTAACACAATAGGAACTGAAAATATTGCCTATAAAAAATACTTCAGAAATTCAAATATCTAAATCAAACCTACTTGAAGTAAAATAAAAATAAGTATTACTAAACAAAAAATAAAACTGAAATAAAGCTTTTCCACGAAATTCTTCTTGAATTAGCACGAAGGTAGTTCTGGAGGACGAGCTCTATCATTTTCTATGCACCTAAATTTTAGGCAGATGCAGCCCTAAATTACACCGAGGAAGACGAAACAACCCGGAGCGCCAGTGCCCAAGAAATAACCGTCATAACACAAAACAAATACAATCAGAAAAAAAGAACACTCTAGTTGGGTCATACCCTTACAAAGGAAACCTTCGAAAGCTGATGTCACCAAGATCAAGTCATGGAATATGTTACAGATTATGAGACCTCCACCTCCGTTTCCTCTTTCCAATCCTAATCTAGTTG